CCAATGTAACCCCTTAAATCCCAATTTAACCCCTTTAAATCCCAATTTAACCCCCTTAAATCCCAATGTAACCCCTTAAATCCCAATTTAACCCCCCAAAATCCCAATTTAACCCCCCAAAATCCCAATTTCACCCCAGTTTAACCCTTTAAATCCTGATTTAACCCTTTAAATCCCAATTTAACCCCGATTTAACCCCGATTTAACCCCTTCCTCACCGCAGAGCCGCTGGGAGGCCACCACGTAGCTGAGCAGGGTGACGTCCCCGGCGCCCCCCGACTCCAGGGGGATGGGGTGCACCCGGAAGTGCTCCAGCATGTCGAAGATGCTCTGGAACCAGAGGTGCTGCACGCGGCACTGCGCCGCCTCGTTCAGCGAGAGGCGCAGGTGCTGCGGGGTGGAAAACAGCCCAAAATCAGCCCAAAATATCCCCAAAAAATCCCCAAAAATATCCCCCAAATATCCCAGAAATATCCCCAAAAACAGCCCCAAAATATCCCAAAATATCCCCAAAAATATCCCCAAATCGCCCTGAAAATATCCCCCAAATATCCCAGAAATATCCCCAAAAACAGCCCCAAAATATCCCAAAAAATCCCCGAAAATATCCCCCAAATCGCCCTGAAAATATCCCCCAAATATCCCAGAAATATCCCCAAGAACAGCCCCAAAATATCCCAAAATAGCCTCGAAAACAGCCCCAAAATATCCCCAAAAATATCCCGAAAGTGTCCCAAAAATATCCCCAAAGCCAGCCCCAAATTATCCCAAAAAATCCCCAAAAATATCCCCCAAATATCCCAAAAATATCCCCAAAAACAGCCCCAAAATATCCCAAAATAGCCTCAAAAACAGCCCCAAAATATCCCCAAAAATATCCCTAAAATATCCCAAAAAATCCCCAAAAATATCCCCCAAATATCCCCAAAGTGTCCCTAAAACATCCCCAAAAACAGCCCCAAAATATCCCAAAATATCCCCAAAAATATCCCGAAAGTATCCCAAAAAATTGTCCCAAAATCAGCCCAAAATATCCCCAAAAATATCCTCAAAATATCCCAAAAATTATCCCCAAACCAGCCCAAAATATCCCCAAAAATAGTCCCAAAACAGCCCAAAAATATCCCAAAACGTCCCCAAAAACAGCCCCAAAAATTGTCCCAAAATCTGCCAAAATCAGCCCAAAAATATCCCCAAAAATGTCATAAAAATATCCCAAAAATGCCCCAAAATTCCCTCTAAAATCCCCATTTTTTTGTGTAAAATCCCCATTTTTTGGGCTAGAACGCTCCGGTTTTTTGCCCCCAGCTCCGTTTTTTCCCAATTTTCCCATTTTTCACCCCAAACCTGACCTTGGCCTTGCCCAGCACGTTGAAGGTGAGCACCAAGTCCCAAAATTCCCTCTAAAATCCCCATTTTTGGCTGTAAAATCCCCATTTTTTGGGCTAGAACGCTCCGGTTTTTTGCCCCCAACTCCGTTTTTTCCCAATTTTCCCATTTTTCACCCCAAACCTGACCTTGGCCTTGCCCAGCACGTTGAAGGTGAGCACGAAGTCGCCCCTCCGGGTCTCGCTCTGCCGCACCAGGAAGGCGCCGTGGCCGCCCCGCCCCCCCTGCAGCACCAGCTGCGCGGCGCGCATGCGCGGCAGCGTCCCGTGGAACCAGGGCCACGCCCCCAGCGCGCCGGCCACGCCCCCCGACCAGGACACGCCCCCCGGGGCTGAGGCCACGCCCACTGGGACCGAGGCCACGCCCATTGGGACGGAGGCCACGCCCCCCGGGTCCGGCGGGGGCGGGGGAGGGGCGGGGGGGGAGGGGGGGCCTGGGGAGAGAGAGGGGG